GGTAATTGAACCGGCAAACTTGCGCAGTAATCAATCACTATATGAATGATTATTGCTGAAAACATACATGCTATCATACTGCAGTCTGCTACAGATAGTATGGTATATCATTGACATGACAGTATTACATAATTATTACCCCGACTTATGAATAAAATGGTAAATCCAATGTAGTAATCGCAAGTGATTAGGAAGCGAATCGTTATCAGTTTTAAAACAATTTTCCTGTTAATTATAAATTTTATTCACAAAGTACATTGTTGTATTGTTATGCAATCTTGTTGCAATACGTATAACACGGTAATATAGTAGTGACAGCCTTAAAATTTGCAACGCCTGAAAAAGGCCGTTAAGCTGTGCCTGTCATTTCCTAAGACCTGTATGTATTACCTTAACATGCAAATAAAGAGCATGAGTTTGAAAAAAAAATGAGGTTTAAGACGCTTCTCATGCATGAGAATACGGTTTCGCGAGCTACCAATGGTAAGTACCAATGTGACTTTTTTGGAGTTACATGTACTTTCTACGATTATTTAGACACCACTGACAAACGGTGAAGGAAAACATCGTGAGGAAACCTAAGCTTACAATTTCTAATTAAGTAATTATAAGTTTGAAATTGCTAAATCACATTGAACAAGCTTGGTGAATAATGGTCAAACCTTCTCCGTGTGAGAAGAAGGCCTTTGATCAGCAGGGACCTCTTATAAAAATTAATGTTGTTGACATATAAAACATGTGAATAACCAGCTTTTCAATTAGGACTCTTTTTGATATATAATGCAAAAAGTTGATTTACTGACAAGCTTCAAAAGATTTTTTCGACTAGGTTTTAATTTTAAGTAAGTATAATAGAATAAATAGTAGTCTATATTACGTCCTGAAAAGTTAGTTTTACAACGATGACATTAATTTTTATATTGGTTCAGCAATTTCGGAGCTTATTCAATGAAAACAAACAAACAATCAATCCAATCCTTCCTTTTTATAATAGTACGGACTATTTAGCTACTAGATTATTTATTTAGTTTTATTTTAGTATGGACAATCATCAGGCATCCTACCTATCTATCTTATGCTATACTTCTTTATCTATTGTAACCGAACTGAATAAAACGCAATATATGGACCATTCAGTAGGTATCTTACTACAAACACACCCACTTTGTAAGTCCAACAGGTGTGATGACATTGCAGTACGTTTAATCACAAGAGGGTAAGCAGATGACAATGATTACATGATTTACATGTAAAGATAATGTCAGGTGGACACGGAATATCATAAACCTTGTTCTATAAAGAACGTGATCTGGCATGCACAGGGCACGTCGACACGTACAGATACTTGCATATCAAGCTATCCTGAACTGACAATTTTTATCAATACATTTCCAACTATGTCTATTTGTGATAAAGTTCATATTTGGTTGAAGAATTAGTCTCTTTCGTATAGTTTGGTGTGCGGCCGTCTTCCACAGAGTGCGAGTGCCCGCACATATAGATGATTGACATGACTGATAATGTATTAATGTTATCAGTAGCAGTTTTTATTGATTCATCACTATTCATTGGCTGTTACCTTCCTTATGAGCTTATGGGAGCTGCATGATTAGGTTGTTAATACAAAAGATGAGGCTAAATGGGAAATATCCATGGTTCTGGCAGGAGAAAGAGGAAGACGTGATGTTTTATAACTGACTGCTATCTACTGCTTAACTTGGCTTATATTTATGTTTTTTATGGTATAAGCCGGTAAACGTCCAGACGGATCACCTGATGGTAAGCAATCAGCGTCGCTCATGGACACCCGAAACACCAGAGGCGTTACAAGTGCATTACCGGCCTTTTGGGAATTAGGAATTTGAGGATTGTTGGGAATTCAGGGATTGGAAGAATTGGGCCTGCAGTAACCTTACTCACATGACAAAATACTACGCAAGTTGTTTCACGTCGTTTTTCTATGAGATTGTGGTATCACTACGGCCGGCCTAGTTGTGGCGAAGTATGACTCTCCCAAACTTAATTAAATGTATAATAATGTGTAAAACTTTTCCGTTACTGAGTAACTGATTAACAGACAACGCACAGCCAAAACTGCTGGTCTTAAAAATATGAAACTTGACTTAATCGGACTCTCTCAATGAACGAAAGAAAAGGTATGAATGAGATATGAATGTAATGTGATAATTGCATAACATTTGTGTGAACGGCGTGTGTCACGCGATTGGTAATTATATTGATATGTATGTGGTGATGAGGTTACAGATCAGCTCTTCAATCACGAGGTTCTACATCATGTGATAGTTTAACTTACCACTCACTGGCTGTGGATAATGTTTATTTATTAGGGAGAACCACGACCTAGACTACGCTGGGGACCTTTTGAAATGTATCTTCCTTTTGTAACGTTGCCCCACGCTAGGACTTTCTTCTAAATCGTGGGCGCATATACAGATATACAAGTTCATCTAACATGACACCCAGATCTGAAACAACAATTTGTGGATCACACAACGATTTGCTCTGTGCGGGAATCGAACCCGCTACAAGTTGCAGGGCAGCCGATTGTTGCGCAACGTGTAGTGTGTATATGTCCGTCGTAGAAATTGTTGGTCCTTCGGGGCCCCTTGGGGATAGGTACATAGAACAGGGATAGGCCCTGGACATGTAAAGAGATTCTGGGCAGTACCAATTTGTAGAGTGAACTTAAACTTTCAATTATATACCAATTGCTAAGACAGAATAAAATGTTACTTATTGTCGAGCCTGAGTTCTTGTCCAGTTAGTTGTTTTAACAGGAACTTTCTAACTAAAAACGCAATACAGACTACTGGAAAATCTTATTTCAGGTGTCATAGTTAACAGTCGAGCTAATGAAATAAAGTTGAAACGAATAGATATATTTTCGACTATTTTCGACCTTGTTGGAGTTACAATGTGTCACTAATTTTTGAGGAGAGCAAATCATGCAATTACTTCTTTGCCTTGGGTGATTCCAGAAAGAGTGTCAGACTCTTACTGACTAAACACCACAACGTTCCTACTGCTGCTTTGAGCCGAAGCCCCGATAAACCACTAGGTCATCCACAGCCGCGTTCCGCGCGCGCCTCAAAGAGCCACCAGACCACCACTGATGGGGCCCAATAGGGCCGATGCCGATTCGGAGTCGCGAAGAACTTAACGGGTAACCGGGGCTCCGGCTCGACGTGCAGTAGAAGGAACGGGGTGGTTTTTAGTCAGTAAGAGTCTGACACTCCCTTCCACCTCACCCAGGCGGGAGCAGTCATTCGATGATTTTCCCCCCTTAAAAAAAGGTCATCCACAGCTGATACTAGATTCTACATATCTGTCTAGACTAAGCCTTAACTGTTCATGCAGCAGCCACGCCCCTGACCGCGCACCAGTGCTGCTGCACCTGCTAATCTTTATTGATGTAACTGATAATATTATGATATATTCATGTCATATATATTATATGTATGTTCAATACCCACGTTGCAATTTGTGGTATTAGCAATTTTGATATTGAATTCATGTATTGCCTACTCGATTTGAATTAAACCTTTATACCACCAGCCTATTGCATCGAAATTATGACTAACTGAACACTCTTTTGTAGAGTTCACCTTTAACAGTGGAATTATCATGTCAGCAGCTGTAGCCAAATGTTATTTAGCGCTTGTCTACATGTAGAATAGCAAACCAAATTAGATAGAAAGTCAAAATTTACGTCAATCCCATATAATTTGGTTTTCTATTCTACATGTAGACAAGCGCTAAATAGCATTTGGCAGCAGCTGCAGGAGATTATTTCACTTCATGGATTTTGTTCAAAGTTGAACAAAAATTTGACCAATTTAAAAATGACTCACTTTGTACCTAATTGATGTTTCTAGGTATATGTTAAAAACTACATACTTTTGTTATGCTATGCTTGCTTGGATGAAATGAATGAATGGAATAAAAAATTAAAAACATAAAATTATCTTTTATGTAAAAAAATTGTTTTATTATTATAAATTACTTATTTGCTATAAATACAAAAATCTTAGAACTAATCATGTCCGTCGCTTAGCTTTTAAAGCTCGAGTACCTCCTTTCATTCACAATACAAATAAATAAATAAACAAAATAAATAAGAAACCTATGAGATTCTATGCCTTTGGCACAATCGAAGACTAGGTCCTAATTACAAGAGGTGCCTGAAATTCATTAATTATTCCTAAATAATAAATTATTATTTTACAATACGAGATAAATTAATAGGAGAGAGCAGATACTAGATAATACAAATGTTTAAACAAATAAATTCGTGACTAGACCGCAAATACTTTAGAAACTAATTAACTTACTCCTTAAGTACTCAACTAATCTAATAATTAACTATTAGATATGGAATAACTATTATCACAATTTAGGAATTGCGCAATACCGTGTTGCGCGCGCCGCCACTCTACGTACAATACTGAACTGTGATGTCGCTCCAATTATTGCGGAAATGCACATTAACATTAACGTTACAATAAATTACACTTACTTACTAATTAACTCACTAGCCTCGTAAGTTACAAGAGTTTCTTACACTAACGTGCGAGGTTCGATTCCAAGGGCGGGCAAAAGTGTCGCTTGAGATGTTAACGGCTACGAAAGCTCTGTCTTGTGCTGGTTAGTAATGACTGACACACCCGTACCCGCCCGCTCGGACACTTTTAAAGAATATTACATCTAATAATAAATAATTAGCTACCTACAGATAATACGTATTTGAGTTACAATATTAAGTACATTAGACAGCAAACCAAAAAGTCATGGAATAAAATTAGCAATGTCTACTCACAGCACCTTTTGGCCCCATTTTGTCTTAGAAGCTAAACAAATAAATAACTTACAAGCTATAATAATACTGGTAAATTCTGAACAATTAAGTCTACAAGACACTTGACTCAGTCGCGTTTTACGTTTAGAGTAGTGCACGAGAGCACAGTCCCACCTCGTGACCGATGACTGCCGTGGCCAAATTTGTAGTGAGTCACGACGCGACTCGCGCGTCACTGTCCCGTGCCCCCGCACTAGTTCACACTAAGGTCTCTAAGGTTCACAACACTAGTCCCTCTCAGGTATCACTTGGTTGCCGGAGCGCCTTGCGCTCTGTCTCTAAGTGCGCATTGCGCGCATTAGGCCCTCCTTCGCTGCTCGCATGCGCATTTAGACCGATTCCACCTCATATTCTGGTTCCGCTGTAACAAAACAAAACAAACATTGCTAACTTTGATCGGTATAACCAACTAGTTTGTCACTATGATTTTAAAATTAAAATGATTGCTACAAAATTTCTAAATCATGAAATCTTTACACTAAATATTTGTTTCTGATAAAAGAAAAGTACAAAAGTGATAGTGACAAAGCAGATGTAAGAAAATTAAAGTCTAGTGCACAACAAAAGCCAAAGATCGAAAGACAATGGATGTCGGTAAAAACGCGTCGACACGGAGCGGGCGTCAGACATTTGCCGAGTATGTGGTTGTTGTACTTGCACATAGGCCAGTGTTGACTTGGCCTCAATGTACATGCAAACACACCTAGACACTCAGATAACAGAGGTGGAGTGAAGGATAAACAACATCGAGAGAGAAATAAAAGAAGCGAGTGTTAACAGAGCGGGAGAGGAAAGTGCTGACGCTGTTGGGGCGAGGCATGCGCGTGCCCACACGGTACGTTAGTGCTGACAGACATCCATTATCTTACGAACCTTTTTCAGGCAACTGCGGCGTTCCTCCATGTTGGGACATTGACAGGAGCACTTACGAGGATTGTACACCCTCGGCGCCGCGCACTCCTCGGGCGACAGCGAGCAGCAGCCGCACGACACGTGCTCCACGATGGGGTACGTGGCGCACGTCTCCCGGTTGGTCTTGGCGTTGTATATTCGTATCTGCAACAATAGAACATTCGTTAACATCAAAGTTCAACCACCCGATTGACTTTTGCTCGTCTGGAATTATCTGTTGGAGTTTAGCTGAGTCATGGAAGCGGCTCTCGACAGTTATGTCATTACTATCTGTAAGGACGGCGCGTGTTGCGCAACGCCGCGTACTCTTGTACAAATATAGTAAGCGGGTCAAGGATGCATCAGAATTAGCAGTGAGTAGATAAGGAGATAGCACGTGTACTTACGGGAATATGTCGGATGACGGTCTCGGTGGCGACGCAGGTGCCTTCGTTCTCGTACTCGCAGAGGCCGACACAGCGCTTGACCCACACCGCGCGGGGACTGATCTGGGGAAACACACTCACGTCAGCCTCACAATACAATGTTCTCACGCGACTCTAATCACCGCACACCGCACCACTGGCGGAACTACACCTACATTATAATAATATCTCATATTTGACGATGAGTAATTTGATTGTTAATCAGTTAAATAATGAGTCCCGACAGAGATTACCTTTGATTTATAACAATTATTATGACGAAATTCTAGAACTCGCTGCGTCGACAGCTAACAAGACATGTCATAATATCTGCGCAAACATTTGTCCAAAACATATGATGGAAGGATTCGCGTTTTTCTACTCAAGTCATTGGCATTTAATTATCGAATGTAGATAGTGACGCGTATGGGGTAATAAGGTCAGCAGATAATGTCCAACAAGAGTTACTTCATTGTGTCATTATTTAACAGTTGTGCATCTTAAGTCATTTCTTAATTAGAGTAATTACTAGAATGTTGCGTTTGACATAATGTATAATTATGTGAAGTGTGTGGTATTTACCTGTTCATGTGCAGCCTTCACCTTCAAGTACTCGAAGACCTCCTTGGGGTCTCCACACTTGGACTGTTCAATGATGTTGCCGCGCTCGCGCTCATTAGCACCCGAGCACGCGACTATGGACAAAAACAAACAAAACTTTTAATAAAATATTGTCAAAATCCATAGAAAAATATTAAAATTATTTTTAAAATTAATTTAAATATAAATGCTATTCGACTAGAATATTTGTGACGCTCAAGACTTGCAACTGTCGCAGTCGAAGATGTTGAAAATTAAAAAATCAAAACAAACATTCACCTTTCTTAGGCATGGGTATGATATAATCCTCAGTACTCCTGGGGAACTTGGGGTGGTGTTTGTGTCCAGCCACCACCACGAACAACACTAAACACACAATAATTTTCGCCATTTCTTTAATGTTTATAATTTCACCTTTCACTTTAATTTATTATCACTTTACAATTTGATCACGATTTGTGAGCACTGTTATCAGTAGAGATAATCACGTGTTGTATTCACTGTCACTACGTGTTACTCGGTCGCCGGTCTGTTGGATTGTGGTGGAAGCCGGCGCGGTATGCTGTTATAAGGCTGAGCCTGACTCAACACGTGGGACCGCGCGGTGGGCACGGCACACGGGCCGTTGCGTCACCGCGCCGACGTTGCACTGTTTGCACAGCTGATCCTACGTCACCACGCTGACAACCAGAAAATTAACAAGCACTTGCTTCTGTTCCGGAATCTTAAGAATTTGGGACGGATCTCTACACATGTTGCTACACTTGGTTTAGAAAAAAATGGTGTTCGAGAGAGTCGACCGAAATACGTCATTATTGAACGGAATTTCATCATAACGGTTTATCTTTTAATCCTTTCTATTATAATCGTGGTTATTATAAATTGGAAAAGTTAGTTTCCCGATTATATTATCTAGATTGTAACACAGTGTGCGTTGGAAACTCCTAAGGTAACTAGTTGGCGACACCGGTAATTTCGTGACGTCACGTGCAGTTTGCGCCGGCGCAGACGTCGGTAGCAGGTTTAACTATTGCTAGGAACAATCATCAATCAGTTAAGGTCCAATGTCAACCATGTACCAGCGTCATTCAAAAAATACCGAATCGAATGTGAAAGTAGAGAAGAAAGTAGGTTCGATTATAAAACATGATGCAATACCGTAAGTTGGTTTTTGAACATGGGACAAACAGATTAGGAGAGCCTAGAACATGCCATGACATATGTGGAGTGTAATAGTGTAAATAATGTAATAAGTGCAAATGTTGCGTGTGATGTTTGCACGGGTGCGCACGCGGCGCGGCGCCTACACACCCGTCGCCGGCACCGGTCGTAGGCTAACCTACATTCCGCATATTGATTCAAGTTCACTAGTAGGTGCTACTGAAGCAACTGATTGTCAATCACCTAGCACAGACAACACTGACCTCTCATACTTACAATACTACGCAATATATTGTAATTTCTTAAGGCACTGCTCTGACACTACACATTACCAATTACCTAAGCTGCTTAAAATAATATTGATCCTTGATCGGTTTGATACGAAAAAAATGTTGGGAATTCCAAGTCGGCAACGTTAAAATGAATTCAATAATCATTTATTTGTATTCGATTAATTCACGTTATTGTTATTCATTAAGATATAATCTGTGATCTAATTTGTAATCTTTACGTGCGCACGCGTTCCACGTAAACCGGCGCCGTCGCCCGATAACTTATCGCCGCAATTTTCGGTTCTCTATCCTCAGTCAAAGTTCCTCCAGTGCTAATCTTTTAACCTTCACACTTAAGTCCTGCTTGTACCCTTCAAAATCATCAATATCGGCATCAGTCAGTAACTGTCTCGGTGCAGGCTTACATTACAATCTTCAGATTACTGCAATTAATTCCCCGACCACTGCAACACCGGTAAGCTATTTGCAGTAGGGACTAGATTCTCATCATAATTTAAATCTGACTATAAACTTACACAGAATTAGTTTTAGTGATGAATATGGTATTTGACTTCTCTATATCGTATGGGAAAATAGTACTTTTTACTTCCGACATTACCCCGAGTTACGTTATGGTCATTTACCTGCTGCCGGGTCAGAATACGTCAAGTCACCATGTGCTTCCCCTGCAACTTGTATTGCATACATATATCAATTAAATGCTCATATTTATACACCAACTAAGGCATAACACGGAAGGAAATATAAAAGTCTAACAGTTATGTCACTTCCTTGCCTGCATTTGTATTGTTTTATTATAGTTTAGACGCGCATTAAAAATATGTCTATTACAAGTAAACTCCATATAAATGCAACCTTTTTCCTTAACTAAGATTAACGAACGAAGCTTTAATGAACTTCCAACTAACAATAATTACTGGAAATGAATTATGAAATCAAATAGGTAAAGCTGTTTAGTGTGAAATTTTCCAAGAAAGCGAGTGTATGTGAGTACACGTCATAGTTTAAATGTAGCGTGACGTCACACCTCACCGTGACTGGCCGGAATGTGAACCCCACCCCCGTCGGCTCAACTTTCAGCAGTTGTGGTGTAATTCAAGAGTGACTTGTATAATTGCCTTCTAGACTTTTCTAACGCTCCTAAAGAATGTAAGAAAGTCGTGAGTACCATCTTTTCCGTCAACCTACAAACGTCTGTCTCATTACGTAACTCTGTAGGCACACGTGTCGACCGTGACACAAATCCAAAGCTTTCATCGAAAACTTTCATGGGGACTAAACGAAATGCATTTATTTAGAGATGATCAAATAGTCTATTTCATAAGAATTTATAATAGTATCAATGATTACGAAATATTTGAACCAGTTCATAGCGGATTGATGATGACGGTGACTTGCAAAAAAAATTGAGAAAAGTTTTTCGGAGTAACTGTCTGTTCTCTTGCCAATAGTTAAACGGATTTCGACCTTTTTCTTTTATTTTTCCTTAACAATAGTTCTAACTCATTAGGTAAAACGTGTGGACAAGTCTTGTCATCCTGCCAGCTTGTCAATCTTTGGGAATCTGGTCATTATTATTGCAACAATGCCAGTCTTCTGTCCAATTGGTAACCTTGACTTCTATGAATGGTTTTCCCACTATGTAACGAGCTCTTACTTTTTAAAATTAGGCCAGTAATCTTTAGTCGGAGCCAATATGAAATTATAAAAAAAAAATTCTAAATTGGCAGTGTCATCTTTATTTTAGAATAAAAGTTTTTCTAGTCTTATAAGCCAACCTTAATGTAAAACTGGTATCAAAATCCTTAAAACATATAAAAAGCTATGACTTAATAATGAAACGGTAATAAATTCGTCATAAGCTATTATATTTAATGATAAGGTATATTTACAACCGGTTATAAGAAAAAATAGCACAAGTATGCGCGAATTATTATTATTAATTAGATAACAGCTTCACAATCTAATTACATAATTAATTAATGTGACATCATTAGTTTCAAACATATTTTATATTCATTACAAAAAATAATAATGCAACTTGTAAATTTCTAGAAAACAAAAAGATTAAATACGCGCCGCGCACGCGTCGACCGATAAGGAATCTGCATCGATATCTTTGGTTTTATCTCATAACGTGTAGAGGAACTGAACTTTCATTCAATTTGTGATTCATACATACGTGGTTTATGTAATTTTCTCCGTCCTATATGAAGTAATGATTATGTTTAGTGACTCAGGAATTTAATACTCTGTTATAATACAACAATATTTTACTAATATTCGTGGCGTGTGCTGCCATCTAGGGTGACCGTTTACGTCACGTAATTACACGCCATTTTGTGGCCAATTTGTGGTTTCCTTCTAACTACTGTTTGCATTGATTATAGGTTTAATTTTATGTGTATTTAGATTTGTGGGTTAATCTGTAATTACTTTATTAGTTGGTTTTGAATTATTGGATGATGATTATCAAGTATTGCTCTGTTAATGTCTCCATATGCAGATAAGCATATGATTTAGTTGCTAACCATTAAATAGTATAGTGTAATGTACCTATAAAGAAATCAATGAACGACAACCACGTCGGTGCCTACTCAATAGATATCAATACAGGTGTGAATTACACCTGTGTATTATTATAGTTAAGTGAATGAATCGTATAAATAGAAGAGATGTAACTTTTCACAGCTTTTAGGTAAACCCGCTGACGCTTGTTGCTTGCCGAGTGTCGAACCTTGACACACGAAAACTGCCTACTCACGTGTTATGACGTAGCCACGGCGAAACCATAGCGGTATTCATTGCACCACCATGAATGAATCCAACCAGTCATGTTTATTGGGAAAACATTTTAATTTTTTTACAACAAGAAAACTTGGAATGTAGGCTAATTGATGTTTTTCACGAAACTTATTATGTTTGTCGGGAAGCATGGTGTTTGAGGGCTGTGATTACTTCCATAGTTATATTAATGCTAATTACTGAGTTCCCGGAGCGGCCTCATTGTACCAGTACTCGGTAGCGAGGTAGTGACCGAAATTTTGAGCCTGTATTTGACATGTAAAAAGGTCAGTAGAATAAAGAAAATTTTACATATAAGGCGTGAATCACCTATAACAGTTAATTGGCTACAGAGCCCTTACCCGTGATATGTTTCTTAAACATTCAAGTTTTAAGATTGTTCTTAAGAATACTTCAGTTCAAGTAAAGGTACGGCAGAGACCGTTCGGGACCCATGTCTACTTCATAAGATGGGCCCCGTTCCCAATAAAAAACAGAGAAGTACAGATGAAAACTTCTGAACGAGGGCCCTTCCAGCTGGGAGCCAAGGGGGCTTTTGCCGACTTGCCACCCTGTAGTTACGCCACTGGTTAGGTACAGCCGAGTGCTGCATAAAAAAGTAGGAGAATAGACAGTTTTCTGTATGTATTTATTTATACTCCTCAAATGAAACTGTTCCGTGACGACAATCCGAAACCAAATGTATGCAGTATTCCTTTTTAAAAGGCCGGCAACGCACCTCCGACTCCTCTGGTGTTGTCCATGGGCGGCGATGATCACTTACCATCAGGTGATTCGTCTGGTCGTTTGTCACCTATTCCATAAAAAAGTATTTCGCGTCAGAACTTTTACATTCATACAGAAAATTTACATACAGAAAATTTGGATATAAACAACAAAAAGTTTAACGATAAATTAATATACCTAACATGAAAAATAGACATAGGTATCATATGTCTATTATCAAGTTGTAGCTTGGAGAAAGCATAATGTTTATTATTGTATATTATGTATTTTTATTACGTAAACGTGTTTGTTTTTATTATAAAAACGGATCACATCAAACCACCCGTCGGAAGACAGAACGGCAACATCGGCTTTAGTCAAAATATTCGATTAATTGAAGAGATTG